GCTAAATCAGTCTTTTTATTGCAGATCGACCTAGCGTTGACAAGACACATATTAAACAAATGGCCTACTAAGTTAAAGTGAGTGAGAGTATCTTGATTAAAGATATCATGAGCCTCGCGTGAGTGATGTATGTTTGAAGTAGTGGATTGAGTGTTTTTCAATAGCTCTGTATTTTGATAGCTAGAGTTACTGGGGCATGTATCAAATGAGCTAGTGAAGTTGCTTGGGGAGTTTATCCAGGAGGAAAGGGTGGGAGTACTTTCTGATGCGAACTGTACGGGGGAAGCGAGTTTATGTTCCGCATTTGGTTTGAAATGACTAGGGCTATATGCTTCAACAGGGGTGCAACTAGGGGCCTTCTACCAAAAAAATCTGGTACATGTTGACTGTAAAGTGTACTGTTATTTGCAAGACAGTTTTGATGGTTAAGCTAGTAGCCCCTGTTATGACTATTTGCGCTGGTGCGAGCATGAGGGGGGGTCTGATGATCGTAACTGGAAGTGGTTGCGACTGTTGTTATATATGGAGGCCGTCTTCATGTGGTGGGTTGATACTGAAAAGTTCTCATTCTGAGAGTAAATACAATTGTGATCCTGGGGAAAGTACATAGGGTGTGGGGTGAGGAACCTGTAATTACCATGATTATTAACGGCTTAAGAAGGTGAGTGGAGTGATCAGTATTCTGATAGTTTTTGTGAGTGCGCGTGTAAAAACGTTTGTTACGCTCAAGCGTACTACCCATTGTGCGAGGTGTTGATGGCAAGTTACATGATATCAGCGGATAGAACCTATTCACTGTTGTTGGGATACTCACAGAACAGTTGGCCTCAATCTTACGTGTTCCCCTACTTCGTATTTTGGATTTTATCTCCCCAGTCTTTTTTGTCAGAGATGAAGGGTTTCTTTGTCTCTGTGAGATGAACTTAGGTTCATTCTAATCCTCTTGTGGAGTATCTCTTGGGGAACCAATTTATACATGAATATGTTTAGTTGGGTGTGTTTTGTTACACGGCCCACATTTTGGTATTATACTGAGCGAACACCCGGGATCGAATGCTATCGAATGCTATCGATCGAAGATCTGTAAAATCCAGGTTATAAGCTTCTTTGCGATCAATAAGTTGTGGTTTCGCCATTTACAATATCTTTTCCAGTCACGCATCAGATTTCGAACAGCTTATTTCGGTCCTCCAAGTCGTCTACTTTTGAATTTATACCCAACTGTCCAAGCTTGAATCCATCACGATGTCAGCATGATAATTAAGAGCATTGGAATCTATGTGCTAACTAAGAAGTCTGGAAATAGTGCAATTTAGGGCATGTAGAACTAGCTGACCACAAAGCAAACGTATTATGTTTGATGGTCGTAATAAACGCCCAATCAAGTACAAAGGAATCATCAGTTAGTACATATTACACGAATATCTACAGATCGACAGACATAAAACAGTAGCCATACCAAAATTTCTTCTCAAAAATAATTCGATACAAAGCGAACGTTCAAGTATTGCTCATATGAATCTACTTTTTCACCAAATTACTTAATGACTCACAGTCTTGTTAAGCTACGCCACTATTACTTTCAGTCTTCAGTCTTCAGTAATAAGGATAGTAGGTTGATGAACCTGTGTTAATCCTGACAGATTTCCTTCCAGTGAAGGTCCAGCTTCTTTTTGAAAATGTTCACTGATGGTGCTGATACCACTTGTTCTGGTAAAGCGTTCCAGTCATTGACCACTCGATGAGAAAAACGGGACCCCACCTTTAGTTTATTAGATCGCGGTTTCAGAACCTTCTTGCTATGACCCCGGAGATTATTAGTGCTGGAGGGAGCAGAAAGGTAAGACATATTAACACCCAGATCATAATTAAAGATACGAAATGCCAGTATAAGGTCACCTCGTATCCTACGATAAGATAAGGGGAAAAGATTTAGACGTTTTAAACGCTCATCGTAAGGGAGTTTGGAAAGACCCTTTACTAATTTTGTCCCTACACGCTGGACACGCTCAAGCGATTTAGTATCCTTTATCAGACAAGGGCTAGCTGCTTGGATGCAGTATTCTAAGTGTGGCCTTACATAGGTGGGATATAAAATTCGAAACATATCCTCGTCAAAGCATTTAAATGCTCTGCGAAGCGACCATAGCGCGCGATAGCCTTTGGAAGCAACCGCACTGCAGTGCGTAGTAGTTTTTAAGTCGTGACTTATAATTACTCCTAAGTCTTTATGCGTATGAACGCGTGGCAGAGATGTACCATTAATGGTATAGTGGTAACTAATATCGTGCCCGATGTGCATGAACACGCTCTTCCTGGAATTAACTTCCAGGCCCCAATCATGAGCCCACCTAACTAATTCGTCTAAATCTGCTTGTAGATAACAACGATCAGTCTCATTTCTTATTGTTCTCCAGATTTTAACATCATCCGCAAACAATAACGCCGACGACTTAAGTAATAAAGGTAGTTCATTAATATACAGAAGGGAAAGTAAAGGGCCCAAGATGGTGCCTTGGGGTACACCACTTCTGACCGGTTTCCATTCGGATAGAGTTCCATTGACTCTCACTCTCTGTCTGCGGTCACATAAGAAGCTTCCTATCCATTCCTGTATAGCACCTGTTATACCAAAGCTCGAGAGCTTTTGCATAAGACCTAAGTGTGAAACCTTATCAAACGCTTTGCTAAAATCTATAAATATCACGTCGACAGACTGGCCGTTGTCTAGTGCAGCTGTCCAATCCTCTCTCGCAATGAGTAAATTAGTCAAGCATGAATGCTTGTTACGAAACCCATGTTGCTCGGGAGTTAACAGATTGTACGAATCTATGTGGCTCAGTAGCTTAGCCCGAATTAATTTTTCAAGTAACTTAACTACTATACTGGTCAGGCTAACAGGCCGGTAGTTAGATACTATCCGTCTCTGACCATCCTTAAATATAGGACTAACTATGGCGTCTTTCCAGTCTCTAGGTAGTTGAGCCTGTGAAAGGGACATGTTGAAGAGCATCGTGAGCGGTCTTGAGATAATGTCCGCAAGCGACGACAGCAAACGTGGGTGTAACCCATCGGGGCCCGGTATCTTACAAGGTTTTAGGTTAGTTATCAAAGGAAGAACTATATCCTCTGTCACGTGTAAAGGTCCTATGGCTGGTATCCCATTGTCAACGGGACAAGTAGTTGTAACACTACACGTAGAGTAGACTTCACTGAAATAGTTAGCAAATAACTCCGCTTTCGCCAGATCAGATTCAGCCAATAAAGCTGAATTTTCGCTTAACAGTAATGAGGGGATGCCATCACTACGTTTCGTCCGCCTTTTAACGTACGAAAACAGGCGCTTCGGACAGGTACGGCTATCGTATGCCAACTGTCGTTCGTAAGCCGTGCGGGATTTAGCTATGGTCTTTTTACATATATTCCGGATTATTTTATATTCGCACTTAAATGATGCCTGACCTGTTGACAAGAATAAGTCCCAGAAGTGTTTCCTACGCTTCAACAGCTTCTGGGTTTCCTTATTAATCCATGGAGGGCAATATGATAACTTACGTGCTGACCATGGGATAAACGGTTGAGTAACGGATTCGAACGTAGACTTAAACATATTCCATGCATCATCAATCGATCCATCAGCATCGACCGACCAGTCAATTGAGATAGCATAGTCCCTGATTGCCGGAATATTAGCTCTCCAGATATTAGGACGGGGTGGAGCTGATGCAAATTCTATACCATGTATCCGGAACTTAAAGGAAAGTACGACATGGTCACTATTCACCAGTGGGGGAAGTTGTTGAATGTCAACGATATCTTCAGAGTGGTGTGTGAGGACAAGGTCTATCAATGACGGATTATGTTCCAAGTCTATATGTGTTGGCTTAACGATACATTGTACAAGTGCACATTGAATAATTGATGACAGAAGGACGCTATCGAAACCCACACCTGGAGCTGTGAGCTCTATCCAGTTTATATGGGGTGCATTGAAATCTCCAACGATGAGACAACATTCTGCTTTACTCCAAGAACAGACGTGTTTTAGGATAAAGTCGTCAGCGAGACAACACGGACTACGATATATTCCTCCTATCGTCACTAACCCGTTTCTAGACCTAATTGTACAACATACTACCTCACACGTACCACTTACATGCGCCTCCGATATGATCGAGTTAATGCGGAAGTGGTCCCTAATATATAATATTATGCCTCCTCCCTTGCGACTTCTAACTCTATCACTTCTGACACAGATGTAGCCTGAAATGACTGCAGAACAGTCTATATCTACAGTGAGCCAAGTTTCGGTGATAACAATTATATCGGGATTTAAGTCGTCTGCCATCAAACTTAGTTCAGACATCTTATTCCGAAGACTACGAGCATTCGTATAACACACATTTAGGGTGTTTTTGGAGACATGCGTTCTACCTACACAGGTCTCGGAAGCATTGGCTTCCAAGACCTGACTACCCGAAAACCCTTAATCGTAAGGTTCGCTTCACCGTTTAGCCTTCGGGTTTTTAACTCTGTTAGGGCATTCTTCCACTTGATCCGATCCTCAAGTGGCCAGTCAGGTCGAATACGAATGTTTGAGTCACGAGTTTTGCGTGAGTTATTTAGTAATACGTCCCGTTCCTCAAAATTACCGAGTACTAATTTGAAGATCCTTCTCTGTTGGGTTTCGTCTCCAACATACTTACCAAGTCTGATGACTTTCGAGATATGTACCCCTGGGACCTCCTCTGGCAGTATATTTATATTACAATATATTACAAATGACACGTATATCTACAGCTTGACAAACGTCAGACAGTTGCCATACTAAAATTTCTTCTCAAAAATAATTCGGTTCAGCGAGAGCGTTCAAGTATTGCTCATGTGAATCTACTTTTCTACCAGAGTCTTGTTAAGCTACGCCATTAATATTTTGAAGATCAAGGACGACCCTGAAGATATATAAACTTCATAAGCTGTTTCTGTGTAAACTTTCAAATATGGCCATTCTAAGCTGTGGTTATAAGTGTCTGAAGATCCTTTTAGTGATATTCAATATCCTAATTTTCGTAAGTTAGATAACATATGATGAAAACGTTTTTCTTGAAAGGCATGTGGAATTGCTTTAATAGTGATCGGAAGTCTTTCTCGAATTGCTATTAATAATTATTCTTCTGGAATCGACTCAAATATCAAAAATCTCGTCTTCTTCGTGATAGTACTCGGATGCTTCCTATTTTTGCTTGGATTTTTCGGATTTTGTGGGCTGTCTACCGAAAATACTTGTTGTCTAATCGTGGTAAATTCATATATTCACTAATTTTAAAAATCAAGTACACAGTTCTGCTTTCAGTTATGGTTGCAGCTGAAATAGCAGCAGGAATAGCGGCTGTTGCACTAAAGAAAGATGTGAAAACTCAATTCCTATCTTCGGTTAAGAGCCTCGTTCCTGTATATGATAATAATCCTGACTTACAGAAATTACTAGACAAGATACAACAAGAGGTATGCCACAATGAACTGTTTTTTACCTTTTAGTTTCAATGTTGCGGCTCTGAATCGTCAAACGACTACACATCGGTTGGACAAACCATCCCTTATTCATGTAAAAATCCAACAACCAAGGTTATATACTCAAATGTAAGTTGAAAAGTATTTTGTTCTGCCTTCAAAGTATCCTCTTAAGCTTTATCTTTTTACAAATGTCTGTGAGATTTGATGTTAGATCAAGATAAAATGTCCTATCATTCTAATAAGTCTCTTGTATTAGCTATTTCAAGGATGTTTAGACCCACAAAATGTGTTGAAATAACGAACACCGGAGGAGAAAAAATAACAATCATTGGTCCATGAGTGGAGGCTATTACATAAACCGTCAAAATCAAACTGTTTTTGAATGTTTTTATAAGCCTTAAATCAAGATAAAATACTTTTCGAAATGCCTATTAACAGTAAATTTTAAAGTACTACTGTCTTTAGCCAACGTGACTACTAAGGACTTACTGTTTCCTGAATTAATGAACCTGTTCTTCTGTTAGCTTCCTTCAGTGGTACGAATAAGATGAGAGATCTGTCAACTTATACACTTCAAGAATCAAATAATTCAAGCTTCGACTAAATCTGGTAGTTTATATTCATGCATTCAGACGTTGGGCCTAATATCGTCCATTAACTTGGTCAGCATTGCACACTGACTTTGTCTGGTAGAGCAATGTGAGTGCTAATAGTTAAGGAGATCGAATTTTTAAGTGAACCACATCTGACCACATCCTTACTATTAGGCCTTGTTTCTTGAATGGGCCTTCAATGAATAATAAGGATTGTGTAGTAGATACAATTTTCAGTACGACGACAGATATGTTTGGTCGTTATGTATGTGGCTTTACTCATGCTTTCATTTTTCACAGTCATGCATAGATGATCTTGACCAGTAATTTTTGTATTTGACTGAGAAGCATAGCTGAATATTCAAACTGATGACCAACATTTCCAACCAATCCTGCATATCACACATTATCTCCGTTCATTTCTAAGACAAAAACTATGTACCTAAGATACCAATTATCCGATGTTAAAAAGTTTGGACTTGTAACAGCATAAATAGGGCAATTATTCCCTGCAAGTTATTCTCTATTTTAGTTAAATGTGTTAATGTTATTTTTAATTTCAGGGTTGTTTAAACAAAGTAATCTCCTTCTTAGAAAAATATATCGTTGCCGTCTCAGCAACGGCATTTGCAGTTGCAATCCTTCAATTATCGTGTGTCGTTTTCGCTGTCTGTGTTATCCGAGCTACCAAATCTGGTGATTCCTACTATGATTAGAATGATCAAATGTGTAAACACTATATCTGATTTTTAAAAATATCTTAAATCGATAAAATTATATTTCTTCTTCCTCATATTTTTATTTTATTGTCATTTATCAAACAGAGAATGGAGTCTTGTATTTTATTCAAAAAACGTTAGAGACAAATATGAATAACTAAGGGTTACTTGACTTAAGATTATGATATTGATCGAAAATATAAAATATAAATGATATTTTTGAGACTTCTCTTTTCATTCACCTGTCTTAGTCATCAAAAATGAAATTTACTGAAACGCTGCTTCTAACTGAATGTGGAGTTGTGTCAGTGAAGTGTATAGACACTTCACATTCTACTACTTCTGTAACTTCACATTTGATGAACTACAAATATAGATTCGATAGGTTCGAACTAATTCTAAATAGAACAACTTATTGTCAATACCAAGACTTGATTTGATAATTTTGAATAAATTGAGCATTGGGTAGATTGTTATAAATAAATTATACATTTGTAATATCCCAATGAATAGAAAAATTAGATTTTCTGACGTTTCGTGACTCAGTGTAAGCCACTTCTTCAGAGAATAAATAACCAAATTAATATTAATCCAAGTTTAAATAGTACAACGGAACAATCAAAGAATATTAGGTGATCAATCAAAAAACAGGTCTGAATAATTCAATGTCATGTCATTTCGGTCAAGGCGATTCATATGCGACGTGTATGTAAATGTATGTGTGTGCACTTTTAATGTGTGACCTTTATAATAACAAAGGATAGAGTTTAATTTGTATTGTAATGGTGTGAATTGTAAATAATATCAGACCAAGTGACTAGTTAGATAGTCCAAGTAAGATGTATGGTAAGGCCTTCCATTCTATTGATAGCAGTAGGATTAAGCATTATATGGAACGCTTCAGCTACTATCCTTTCTTTGTAATTGGAAAAGCCCTTTTGTAGTATTTTGATATTTTTGAAATCAATTTGATGATTTTTGAAAATGGCGTGAACTGCTATTGCCGATTTAATTTAAAGTCTATCCAGTTCTACAGGATTATTAGGAGGTTTCTTTGTGTACCTAATATGTTCTTTGGCACGAGTCACGATTTCGCGAGATGACTCTCCAATATAGAAGGCATCACAGTCGACACAACCTAATTTGTAGACGCAGTTCTGTGTAGACATAAATGGAATTTTTTCTTTTAATCGAAGTAAAGTATTTCGAAGTGTGTTCGTTGTTTTGTAATATGCTTTAATCCTGTGTTGTTTTAAGATCCTTTGAAGTTCTTCAATTGTGCCATGACGGTATGGTGAACTGCAGTACCAATCCATGTCATTTTATTAGAATTATTATTACGTAATGAACTGTCTTGTTTTAATATACTTCTAATAATCTTCATAGGAAAATTATTAAACTGTAAGATGCTAATTACATTATTTTGTTCCTTTTGTTTGTCCTCTTCTGAGGTGATGATCTTGTTGGCTCTTCTAAAAAGATTTAAGGCTAACGAGATTTTTGCACCGAAAGGATGTGCTGAATGGAAGTCAATATAACGATTCGAGTGTGTCGGCTTCCGGTAGATGGGTAGATTTAGAACTCCATTTACATTTCTTTTCACTAAGCCATCTTATAAAGGTAGCCCACCATGTTCATTTTCATTCTCATTCGTGAATTTGATGTGAGATGAAAGTGTATTTATCCGTTTTGAAAACAATCTTAGATGACTATTCTTTATCACTACAAATGTATCATCTATATATCTAAGCCAAATTCGTGGTTTAAGGTTCTCATGATTAAACTGATTCTTAAAGAGTATCCGTCATTCTCAAGTAAACCACTAATGAATTCTAAGCATTTATCAAAAGGAATACTAGTGTATAAAGAGACGACATTAAAGCTTACCATGACTTCATTCTTCTCGATAATTAATTCCGATAATTTTGATTGAAAGTCATATGTATCTTTAATCATATTATGTAAGTTAAAGTGTAGTAGCTTTAATATGCTGCTTAGATATTTAGATAAAGCGTATGTCGGTGTGATATCTGGTTCATGAATTTTAGGTAAGCAATAAAACTGTTAAGTATTACATGATTTGCGATACAGAACAATTAGGCTATTTGTAAGCTAGTCATCAATGATAATATGATAAATATCACTGTAAATTCAATTTACACAACTTGCACTTTTGATAAATTTGAAGAAAGCAAGAACAACTAAAGATGTTTAGAATTCTATAAATCCATTTTACAGATGTAATTATCATCAGGCGATTTGGATAATTGAATTGATGTAACTTCTCGTTTTTGAACTACCTACTGATGTTTACACTACTATACTGCTTGATTACATTATCACTCATTACAAAACAATGAAACAAGTTCATTGACCTAAACTACCATTCAATTCAGAAGTACATAAACCTTGTGAAGGCTCTTCACTCGAACACTACCAGTCGAGTGAGAGCTTATGGCGAACTGTCATCTGATTTTACAACCTCAAGTGGTGTCCGTCAAGGCTGTCCATTATCCCCATTTCTGTTCAACTTCATTATAGACCTGTTGTTGGAAATAGCACTCACGTCGACTGAATTTTCAGGAATTGATCTCCTACCAGGAGGTTCACTTATCGACTTAGAATACGCAGTGACATAGTCCTGTTTGGTGAAGACGCTGAGAAAATGCAGAGTCTTCTGTTGGAACTCAGTAATAATGCCAGGATGTTTGGGATGCGTTTCTCCCCATCCAAATGTAAATTGTTACTCCAGGACTGGCCTGCGTCAACACCTGAACTAAGGATAGGGAGTGAAGTAGTCGAACGCGTTGACAACTTCACTTATCTTGGAAGTCTGATCAGCCCTAATGGGTTGGTGTCTGACGAAATCTCAGCACGGATTCAAAAAGCTCGTTTGGCTTTTGCCAACTTACGTCACCTATGGCGAAGACGAGATATCCGTCTATCAATTAAGGGACGAGTATACTGCGCATCAGTTCGCTCTCTTCTACTTTACGGCTGTGAAACATGGCCATTAAGAGTAGAAGATACTCGTAGGTTACTAGTATTTGACCACAGATGTCTTAGAAATATTGCTCGCATCTGCTGGGATCACCGGGTAAGTAATAGTGAGATACGACGCAGGGTATTAGGGAATGATGGTAAATCAGTTGATGAGGTGATAAATCTTCATCGACTGAGATGGTTGGGCCATGTGTTACGTATGCCTGAACACCGATTACCACGACGCGCTATGATGACTAGTGTAGGGGATTGTTGGAAGAGAGTTAGGGGCGGCCAAACCAAAACATGGCATCAGTGTTTGAAGTCACTAACTTCTAGCCTGAGCCATGTTGGTAGATGCAGACTACCTGGTTGGGGTCCGCGTGACTATCGTAACCAATGGTTGGAGACTCTGTGTGACATGGCTCAGAATCTATCACATTGGCGTAGGTGTATACACCCTTATCTTCTCTTAAACCTTGAGATTAAAATTGCTTCATAACGTTCTTCCTTCCTATACTATATCCTTATATACAACCTATCCTTCATATACTACCACCACTAAATTAACTACTTCTATGAATCCGGTGTGCATCTTGTTGTGCTAACGAGGTATGGCAACTTGGACCGATGCATATGTGTGCCTGGTCCTACGTTGTAGCTGACTGACTGAGTGCACCATTCAATCTTTCACCAAACATTTGATTTACTTAACTCTGTAATCAATTAATAATTTCATAATTCCATGACATCATCTTAAAAGATGTATTTCCCTTGAATTTGAGCATTTTATTCTTCTTCACTATAAAAAATGAAGAAAATGTATTAAAGAATGAACATTGCTCATTCATATATCAACATTTCTTGACATTATAATAAGAATGAAATATGCTTCATAAATAATGAGATGGCCAGAGACTATTATGAATAACTATGATTATATTATGGTCAACCTCATGCTATACTAATTGCATTCTGAAAAAAGAAAAAGAAAATAGAATAACGGAACTACATAACTCAGTGAAATACAATGAATGAATATAATGAATGTGAATAAACTTGTATAGACGTGTCTCTATATTGTTTATCACTTCTTTTGTTTGTTTGTTTGTTTTCTTTACTTCCTTGTCTTCTTCTTTTTATTCTGGAATTCCTCTGTTTTAGACAACTAAACAATCACTAATTGGTAACACATTGGATCTAACCAGTGAGCAGAAAACCGAAATTCTTCATCTTATCTATTCCACACCATCTATAATATGTCAAGGTTATAAATCTAATGAATCAATGATATAAAAACATTAAGATAATGGTAATAGACTAAAGTATGATATAACCTTTCATATTATAGATGATCATAAAGAAAAAAAGTAGATATGGTCCATTTCATTGAATAAACCTGAGGAATTACTTGCATATCATAATGTGTAGCAAACAATCAGATGTATGTCGATACAGATGTTTGAAGACATTTTTAATTGTCTCTAATTCATTAAATTTAGTAAGTTATCCATAAACAGATTAATTTTTTCTTTGTTGTAAATATAATTAAAAGTTAAATTCACCTGGTATTGTTTGTTTGAATCTCCTCATTGATGTTTATGACTACAATTGGTTGAATAAGGCGATGGCGTTTGAAGCAAAAGGTACTGGATTCGAGTCCTAGAGTGAACATCAACTCTGAGATGCAGGCACATCCAGCTGGCGTGTCCCATATAAGACAAAACGCGTGTCCTGGATTCCACTGCTAGCCATTATCCATTACTTACTTACTTACTTACTTACGCCTGTTACCCCTCGTGGAAGAGCATAGGCCGCTAACCTGCATTCTCCATCCAACTCTGTTCTGAGCCATCCTTTCCAGTTATTTCCAGTTGTTATTCATCCTTTTCATATCTGCTTCTATTTCCCGGCGTAATGTGTTCTTTCGTCTTGCTCTTTTCCGCTTCCCTTCCGGATTCCAATTAACGAATTGCCTAACAATACACATTGGTGATTTTCTTAATGTATGTCCAGATTTTTTACCACTGGAATTATCCATCAATCGAAATACGACTTGTTTAATCTTAACACTGTGCCAAATCGATGACGTTCAACTGGTATGAATAGTCTAAAGTCCTTACTCGTTCTTTGCTCGCCTAGCCCTTCCAGTTGAGTCCAGAACACCAATTGCAGCTTCTGCTATGGGAATCATTTATTTCAAGCATACTCGGTTTATATATCAGACAGACAGATCGCATCACTCTATAAAATAGAAAATAATATTTGTACAAGATCAAGCTAAATGTGGCTGTGAATGTGAGATACAATAATCAACAAACTGAATATAATTTAGGGACAATAAATTGTATAGTAATAATTCATAGGTCAAAATGAAGCTTATAATGAGATGAATATAAATATACACAATCTAGTTACTCAATAGTTTTACAATTAAAAAATACATAGTATAATAGTTCATTATTAGGTCCTGAGAGTTACCTGTACTTACGTCTTCACTAGAATATGACAGTACCCATCTATTGTTTAATATCAACATTTGATTTTTTTCTAGTTTTCTTATGCATGAATTATAAAGTGTCTCACAATCTTGAAACAATAAATAACTAATAAGTAATAAATAATGTTATAGTTTTAAAACTTAGTATTTGTAGGCGCATAGCATTGGATGACGTTCATTGTAATTCCCTCTTTCTTTGTTTTGAAAGAGGACTTGATGTTCCTTGGTCCGTGAGATTCCCATCTAATAAGTGCATTTTGTGCTTGTTTGGACAGTATCAATGCCACTCCTTGTGTATATGGAGCATTTTCTTCTTCATGACCTGAGTATAACAGAAGTTCCCCTGAAGATAATCGTTGTTGTCCAACCTGCGTCCAATGTGTTTCACTGATTTCAAGTACCTCCAGGTTGTATTTTCTCATTTCTGCAGCAATCTGAAAGACTCTTCCAGAATCCCACATTGTCCGGACGTTCCATGTACCTAAAACAATTGTCGCTCTGGTTGTTAGAAGGTCCATCAGCTTCATGACTTCAGAAGAAACTCAGCTTTCATCATGAGACTTCATAATTATTCCTTCTACTCCCAGGGCAGAGTTTAAATAGTTTGAATTATTTTTTCTGGTTAGCGTTTTTTAGCGAGTTGGTTTTCTACGGGATGGGGTCGCTAACCCCATACCCAACCTCCCTCTTTTACCCGGGCTTGGGATCAGCAGCAGCCCTAGGAGGAGCTACAGGCGGAGTTACGAAATGGACTAGGAGAAAGGAACGAAAATGGGGAGAGACTTGCAAACCTATGTGCCTTCAATAGACTGGTCATAGGTGGCACCATATTCCCAAACAAGCGCATACACAAAGCTACATGCACCTCGCCGGACCACACCACAGAGAACCAGATAGATCACATCTGTATCAACAAAAAATTCCGAAGGTTAATGGAAGATGTGAGAACCCGGAGAGGAGCTGACATAGCTTCAGATCACCACCTAGTTGTGGCCAAGATGAGACCGAAGCTAGAAAAACACTGGACAACTGGACAAACAACACTACAACGGTTCAATACAGCCTTCCTTCGAGACACTGACAAGCTCCACGAATTCAAGATAACTCTCAACAACAGGTTCCAGACTCTACAGGATCTACTGAATGAACAAGAAACTACGATGGCGGACAACTGAAAAGGGATAAAATTAGCACTAACTTCAACGTGTCAGCAGGTTCTTGGTCGTAAGAAGCTTCATCATAAGCAATGGATCTCTATGGGAACCCTGGAGAAAATTCAAGAAAGGAAGAACAAGAGACTAGCAATTAACAACAGCCGAACACGAGCAGAGAAAGTCAAAGCACAAGCAGACTACGCAGAAGCAAACAGGGAAGTGAAGAAAAGCATTAAAGCTGACAAGCAGAAATACATGGGAGAACTAGCAACGACGGCGGAAGAAGCTGCAAGAGAAGGGAATATGAGACAACTATATGATACAACAAAGAAGTTGGCATGGAGATATAGCAAACCAGAGAGACCAGTCAAGGACAAAGAAGGAAAGGCAATCACAGAGGTTCAAGAACAGAGGAAAAGATGGGCAGAATACTTCGAGGAACTGCTGAATAGACCAGCCTCATTGAATCCACCGAACATCGAAGCAGCCCACACTGACCTTCCTATAAATGTCACTCCACCAACGATCGAAGAATTCAAGGTGGCCATGCTTCACCTTCTATTCAAGAAGATCTGAATCGAGTAACAAGTGCCAATGGACTGGAAAGAAGGATCCTCCATCAAGATACCAAAGAAGGGAGATCTGAGCAAATGTGAGAATTACAGAGGTATCAGTTTGTTATCAGTACCAGGAAAAGTTTTCAATAGAGTGCTGCTGAATCGGATGAAAGACGCAGTAGACGCTGAACTTAGGGATCATCAGGCTGGATTCCGTAAGGATCGGTCGTGCACAGACTAGATTGCGACACTACGGGTCATCATTGAACAATCTGTTGAGTGGAACTCATCACTATACATCAACTTCATTGACTATGAGAAGGTGTTTAACAGTGTGGACAGGAGAACATTATGGAAACTTCTTCGACACTATGGAGTTCCTGAAAAGATTGTCAACATTATCCAATACTCATACGATGGACTACAGTGCAAAGTCGTTAATGGGGGACAGCTGACAGATGCATATCCAGTAGGGACCGGAGTCAGACAAGGCTGTCTACTCTCCTTGATTGAATGGATTGTGAAGACTTCGACATCTATAGGAAGCACGGAATACAATGGAAATCTCAGAATCAATTAGATGATTTGGACTTCGCAGATGACCTAGCCCTCCTCTCTCATACACACTAGCAAATGCATATGAAGACAGCAAATGTAGCAGCAGCCTCTGCATCGATAGGCCTCCACATTCACAAAGGAAAAAGCAAGATTCTCAAATACAACACGAAGAACACGAAGCCAATCACACTTGATGGCGAAACTCTGGAAGAGGTGGAAACATTCAAGTACCTGGGGAGCATCGTTGATAAACAAGGAGGATCGGATGCAGATGTAAAGGCGAGGATTGGCAAAGCAAGGGCAGCATTTCTACAATTGAAGAACATACGGAACTCCAAACAACTGTCATAGAACTTCAAAGTGAGAATCTTCAATACGAACGTCAAGACAGTCCTACTGTACGGAGCTGAAACGTGGAGAACTACTACGACCATCATCAGGAAGGTACTAGTTTTTATAAAGAGTTGTTAACGCAAAATACTCAATATTCACTAGCCAGATAATATCAGCAATAACGTCTAATGGGAGAGGACAAACCAACTTCCAGGTGAGGAGAAAATTATGAAAAGACGTTGGAAGTGGATCGGACATACATTAAGGAAATCACCAATGTGCGTTGCAAGGCAATCCGTTAATTGGAATCCGGAAGGGAAGCGGAAAAGAGCAAGACGAAAGAACACATTACGCCGGGAAATAGAAGCAGATATGAAAAGGATGAATAACAACTGGAAATAACTGGAAAGGATGGCTCAGAACAGAGTTGGATGGAGAATGCAGGTTAGCGGCCTATGCTCTTCCACGAGGGGTAACAGGCGTAGGTAAATAAGTAAGTATCTCCATGTCGTCCAATTATATCTTCATATCCAGCATTGTCCATTCCAACCTTAGCATTTGGATCTCCCATCACGACGGTGAAGTCTTTTGTTGAGCACTTCGCTATGATTTACTGCACCCTCGAGTAGAACTGATCTTTATCTTCGTCGTTGCTATCATTGGTGGGTGCATAACATTGGATAACATTCATTGTGATGTACTCCTTCTTCGTTTTGAATGGTGCTTTGGTCATCCTGGATCCATGAGATTCCCAACCTACAAGTGCATTTCGTGCTTCTCTGGACAGCATTAGAGCAACTCCCTGAGTGTGTGGAGCGTTTTCCTCTTTGTGACCGGAGTACAGTAGCATCTCTCCCGTATCCAACCTTTGTTGTCCAGTTTGAGTCCAATGAGTTTCGCTGGTTCCAAGTACTGTCAATTTGTATCTCCTCATTTCCGTTGCTATTTGACTGGTCATCCCGGTCTCCCACATTGTACGGGTGTTGCATGCATTAATAAAAATTGTTGCTCTAGTTGTTGAAAGGGGCATGAGCCTCATGACTTCCGAAGAAACTCGGCATTCATCATGAGACTTCATAATTATTCCTTCAACTCCCAAAACAGAGTATAAATGGCTTGAATAATTTTTTCTGGTTGGCGTTTTTTAGCGAGTTGGTTTTCTACGGGATGGGATCGCTAACCCCATACCCAACCCTCCTACTTTACCCGGGCTTGTAACCGGCAGTAATTCTAGAAAAGCTCTGTCCATCTTTGCTTATAATTCAAAGTTTATTATTATTATGAATGCTTTGATTACTGTTTATTTCTTTGTTGTATTTTAGGTACTTGGTATATGTTTAATTGTGATGGGCAGTTATGTACATCTATTTCTTAGTACATTCTTACGTAATTTACCAGTTCATATGTTATCATTAACATTTATTATGATGGCACTTGGATGTCTTCTATTTTCACTTGGTAGTATTGGCATATTATTTGTTTTAACTGGACGTCGAAAAATCAATGCAATTGTAAGGTCTAATTTGTTCTTGTGAACTAATACTGATTCTCTTATTGATATATATGACTATAGTATACAGTACTGTTGATAGTAGCTGTTTCAATAGGTATTGTTGTCATTGTAACGACATGCATGTTACGTGAAAAGGTAATTGTTTCGATCAAGTGAATGTTGTTTGTTTTACTTTTGTTTAACACGTTCTCTATTCAATATTTAGATGGGTATGATGTTTCGAAATATTATCAAAGATTCTATCAAGCATTATATGAGAAAAAATAGTTATGCAGCATTTGTGAACACAATACAATTACAGGTAAATTAGTGTTGGCAAAAAAGATACTGCTTTGTCATTGATGTGCTTTAAGCATAAATGTTGTGGTGCAGATTCAGTCATGGATTACACTGTGAGTAATCTCTCAGTACCAGTTTCATGTTATCCTGACAAAGGCACAACACCGCATAGTGAAGTAAGTGATAATCAACAGTTTTGTAATTTACATGACAATTTGTATGTTTACGGGGAATACTTCCTTGTAAAACGCTGATTAGCAATTTTCATATTACTTCAGAAATAAAATGAATATCTGTATGGAAAAATGTACAGACAAATATAGCTTAAACCGACCGCATTAACTTCGAGATAGTCAGTGATTCATCTAAACAAATAATTATGTTGTCTAAAGGCTAAAGTAGGAAGGAAACAGTCTATAACTTTTTCGCAAAGATGAAAACACTTACTGGTACTTGTGAAACACAAATATTCAAAAGAAACTATATGTCAGCTATATGTGGAAACATGAATCTGTTTGTATTTGTACTTGTTGAGATATCCTAATTACTACAATTATGCAGAAGTGTTAGTTTAATGTTTTTGAAGATAGTGAATTACAGTTTTGATTATTCTGCATTGCATTTACACTAAAATGGGACTTGTCATCTCACATAGGTCGTGTAGACAATCTATCTGAATCCCTAACTCAAATTAGAAAGTAAATAGAGCGATCTATTTATGTTTCGTTCTCATGCGAAATATCAGCGAAATATCCAACCTATGTTTCACTGATCCAAGCACCTCCAGGTTGTATTTACTCATTTCTGCAGCGATTCGGAAGACTCTCCCCGTTTCCCAAATTGTACGATGCTTCATGTATCTATAAAAATGTGGTTATGGTTGTAAGAAGGTGCATCGGCCTCATGACTACCGAAGGAACTCGGATGTCTTCACGAGGCGTAATAATAACTCCTTCAATTCCCAGGGCGAATTTTAAATAGTTTGAATTATTTTTTTCTGGTTAGCGTTTTTTAGCGAGTTGGCTTTTTTCTGGATGGGGTGGCTAATTCCATGCCAAACCCTTCCCCTTTGTCCGGGTATGGGAAGGGTAGTAGTATCATGGGAGCTACAGGCTGCTTCTGCACTGTAACCTCTATGCTGTTTACACTTGTGTTTAATTTATTTTGTTTGTTTATTTACTGTGAAGTAGTGACTGACATTGAATCACAATACGTCAGGAATATGATCTTCCGCTCACTAGGATATCACAAATAGTATACTTATTATCAACTTTCTACCCGATTCCCAGTTTACATGAGAGTATCAAATCCAATCTTGGAATCAGACTATTATAAGTAGATCAAGATGGATTTCATTTCAACTTGATAAACTCGTACAACTTGAACTGGTGACGTGAAAACCGAAAGTTATGGTAGCATGAGAACTGAAACTTGAAATGAATAGATGCATGGAATGAAGATGAGCACTTCTGTCAAATGAATTATTTGACTATCAAAACCTGAAACATCTCTTCCTAACAGACACATTTAATGACATATAAGTTTACATGCATGAACATGAATAGATATCTGACTACAATTACCCCTTCCTAACAATAATTGGTAGGTATAAGCCTGTTAGAATTGTCTCTCTAAAACTGTTCATTCGACTTGTTGTAATTTATGTACTGATTGTATGTATGTATGTAATTTTGACAATTTCTTTCCTTTCCTCAGGGTTGTGCAGAAATACTTAACGCAATTGTCCAACGTTATTTAACTTACATTATTTCATTACTGTCCGCTGTTTTACCAATGGAAATAGCTTCAATGGTTTGTGGTATACTTATGTTAAACAAAGTGAAATCTATCCCATGGAAAACAAGATTTGCTCATTGTTAATAGTTTCAATAATATCAATTAATTGATCATTTGATTATTATACTACTGAAATGACACTTGTAGTAAATTGTTTTCTATGAAACCGACAATTAAAATGTGACATTGTTTGTGCATTTTCAGAGTCACTTTGGAACACCTTCAATTGATTTTGTTCATAATTTACTATATTCTTCACAGACTGGTATTCATTAGAACTCTTTCTAGGAAAATTGTTAAACAGTCAGTTTTTTCTCATAAATTTGAAATTCTCTATGATTTGCATGGACTATAACTGATCAGATGCTGTTATTATGTGGTGTTTGAATAAACCAATGATTCCTCTATATTGAGGACTGTTTTGAGTTTGAATTCCAAATACAGTACATTCGTTGGTGCTCATCGAATAATTCTTGAATAAATTGCGTTGTTTCTGGGATTACTAGCTTATACAATAATTCAAATACTCTTAATTACAACATATTACCATTCTATCTGATACAACAATCGAAGATATTTGGATTATGTCATGCACTTTCTTATGTATTATCACTTCGATTCATCTTGGGCTATTTTGTCAAATATTTTCTGTATGGTAATAGTAAATAGAAAATGTTTATCATTCACGTCCTTAGATAAAATATGCCGAAAGTATGGATACACTACGTAACTTCACTTAGTTTTTGATTTTTGGAAGCGACACATTAGGAATCATGAAATTTGATTGAATAATCCCAATATAAAGGTTATGTCACTTTGACTAAAGAATTGTCTTACGTTCTACTTATCAAAACTCTCTTTATATTCGCACAATGAACAACTGACTGAAAGACAAAAACATTATTTAAAATACCGATCAGAATGCATTTATGACTACTTCCACAGTTTTGTGTACACTAAAATTCCATAACCCAAAATGAGACTATCTGGTTCCTAGTGATCTGTAGAAACTCATAATGAATTTCGTTTACTTACAGACAAGTTTTTATTAACTAGTTTCGTATCAAATAGTTGTGGAGGCCTCGATCTGACTCCATTTAAATCATATGGATGTTTGAGTGTCAAAATATACGTCCTGTCTATCCTCGTATGTAATATATGACTTAATCCGCGTTTATGAATAACGAAATGAAATAAAGGTTGTCAAGTGAATAATTAATAAGGTCAAATAAATAAATGATAAGCAGTTCAGAACTCCAAGACAGTAACGAGCAAGCAATTATGAAAATACAGATAAACGTCCATTTCCGAAACCTAAAAATGTGAAAGGATAGAAATACATGTTTAGATATTTGTTTGTATGATAAAATAGGACTTTCATCACCTTGTATTTTTTATCCTTTAATCCTATCACTAGTTTGAGCTCCGCAATTTCCATATAGTTTAAAATACACATCAGTCATTCTATAATCAGTTACAGTTCAAAAATACTGAAGCAGCATCGGATGATATTCATATGACGATTTCTTTTCACATGGACTGTGTGAGGATGTGATCAGGATAATTAAACGAACACCAACCATACGTTTTTAGGAATCAATAAAATCAGCCTAATTATCGAATACCTGTAAAAGTGCTTGTTGTAAGGAGTCGCTTAGCAAGGTATTTTCAGCGATCATCTCACCGCAATCAAATGAAAAACGTAGTTTCATATTTTGCTAATAATCACCATGTTGTGAACAATAAAAATATTGAATTTGCTCAACGTTTGAACACGCAATTAGTAAAAAGATTGTGACTTGGTGGACATTTGTAAACATATCCATTTACTCGTCCTGATAGCGCTCAATCAAATATATATTGTGAAATAAAGTTCGACATGTTTGAAATGATGAACATGATAGATCCGATGAAGCAAACGATTTGAGGAAAATAGATCACCGACGGAACAACATGATGAGCACTGACCATCGAACAAATGATTTAATACGCTGCATTCGACAGATAGCAATAAAATTTGAACAAAGCTTTTGAAAGGTTGTACCATGATATTTCAGTGATTCAATGTCATTCACGTACTTACTTACTTACTTACGCCTGTTACTGTCGTTGAGGAGTATAGGACACTCACCGGCATTCTCCATCCAGCCCTGTCCTGGGCAATCCTTTCCGGTTCTTTCCAGTTAACATTCATCGGTTTCATATCTGCTTCATACATGAATGGACCCTTTCGCCATGTGTTCACTTCTTTTGTCTAGTTTTTCCTTCTAACTAAATATTATTCTTAAGACTACATGGTTTGTGATAATCTTTGCTGATTGAATGCTATACTCGGATCCTGAGCTACTGCCGGTAACCCGAATCTAGAACTACACAACGACTCGTTTTATTTTCACTATGCATTTACGTTTAATACATATCGATTATCCTATGCACTTGATTGAAATTTTCATGGCATCACTTCAAACTTTGACTGCACAAACATTTATTCTAATGTCAAATCTTACTGCAATAGTAAGTTAATTACTTATTAGTGGATTTTGTTTTATTTTATTTATATTGCTCAATTGGCGATACATACATAGCCGTTTATTCTTGTTGTATGTTCTTAAACACGCTTATTAAACTATCCACGTATTTCGCGTTTCCTTTATTTCTATTTCTTTCGTTACTTCCTTCTCTTCTTTAAAATCATTTCAATATTCCTCTCAATCACACGGAACCTGATTTAAATTATTATTATTATATTATTATCATTTTATTCTAATTTTCTTTCCTTTCCCAAATATGTCAAACATAATGCTAACATCACCGAAACGTATGTATTAATGCATTTTCGAAGAAATCCGAAGTGATTTCTTCACAACACTAATATACCCATAAGATATTTGTGAATAACAATAATAAAGGCGATAATAATAACAACTGAATGTTCACTGTGTGGATCTTCAAGGACGATTTATGCAATGAATGAGGAATGACAACACGATCATTCAGACTTCAATTACCATAGGGAGTAGCGGATAACTCATCGCTCTCTGAAAAATAGACAGGAAATCGACGTTTCAGATAAGCATTCCAACTTTCTCGTACTGCATTGAGTATAATAATAATAATAGTAATAATAATAATAATAATATATTTCTGCAATAGCAGGTACACGCCATTTTCACGGGTATGATCTACAATTTACAACATATACTGATTCACAGTATGCATCCCAAGCAAGGTTATTTAGTAATTATAATCTATAAAAGTTGATAGCAGTTCATTCGTTCAGATATAATGTGTTTTCATAAGAATATATTTCCAAAGGGGCATGGCGTCCACGTTATATACCAGATCTAATCTCGACAAAAAGTGTAATATGGTTTCGGTAGTGCTAAGTATTTATGTAATGCAGCTTTTTAAGTTTGTAGTTGTTATAAAGTAGGCTTGTGGAGCGCCTGGTTCGAGCTATGACCTTGGGAAAGCGCGTTCGTTAAGCTTGTTACAGATGTCCGCAGTTACATAGCTTCACCCTCAGAGCAAGATTCTGAAGAGAAGAAAAAAAAGAAACCGAGGAGTAGCAAGGCATTTGGATCAGAACGACAAATAATGCTTAACATTTATTGGTGGAACAGATGGAGGTATGATAAATTATTAGAATAAATTGATACTAGCTGATGTTGCAAGAGTAAACTGCGATTAGGGGCTCCAGAGGAGAGAATGCAGTAATAAAGAACAATGAGTTGTGATATTTATCAAGGTGGAGTAGGTTCCAATGAAGGAGGGAAGTCAAGGTTGGAATGAGGAAGAACAGAGAGTGCATATAGAGAGTAGTGTTAAGTAAAATAGCAACCATATCCTTTACAGTCAGTTTTTTTCTTTTCTCATCCGATGCCTGCCACACAGTTTTAATGTAAGAGTTTGAGTAAGCATGTTAAAGGTTGTCTTAGTAGAATAGTTAATCCAGCACAAAAATTAGAAACATGAGTCTGAATGGTGAGTGTAGGAGAACAATCTCAATATTACAGATTGATTGACTTGTTCTTATCCATAGTGAGCCTGATACAAACAAAATGTTCTGCCCCACAAACACGGGTGGATTGAAATCATCGCCCTCACCATCAGTGCTTGTTGGTTAGTAACTCCACCCTCCCTCCCATTGTGATGTTAGGCTCATTTACGCTTATTTTTTGGATACATATCATACCTCACACAATGCTTTGTGTTTCACATCCTGTTGGAAAATACTATTTCTATAAGTACCATGTTACAAGCTTATCAGACAGTTACAAATTATGGACTGTGGGTAGGGCTATGTAGTAAAGTGTAGGTTACGAATCAGAGTATAGGGATTAGGAAGGGTATAGTGTAGGATATTTGTTTATCATAGTAGGCGGAAAAGTGGAGATTTATATTAGTTACAGATAAGGTAAGATAACGAGTGGTGAAATAATATTAATGGCAAGGCAACATAGTGTACAGATGAGTAAAAAGCTGATAAAGAATAGACAAGAAGTAACTCACACTAAATTCGCGCTGAGGTTGTTTTGTTCTATTCTAACCGGTTGATGGGTGACATGTTCTGTGGTTTTACGACCACTGGCAGTAGGCAGTCGATTGTACGTTTCTTCTGATGTTTTAGGGTATTTATAAGCGTCGTTCAGCGACCGAGTATTGATAGATCTAAGAGTTGCCTGTCTACTTCAATTGAAAAGAATTAGTGAGGGGAAAGTATCTAATACAACTACAAGATAGGGAAATAAGGCGATTCAGTCTATATATGTAGAGAGCCTATGATGTCTGTGTCGGACGTGGATGTGTTTGTTTGCACCAGATCTATGCAGGTGAGGGCTTGGTCAATGATTCTTGTAAACGTATGTAATTTGTCTGCCATGCGTACTTCAGAAAGCAGACTGTTCCATACCAATGCATACTTGATAAGGAAGAAGTTTTTACGTGTTTTTGATCTGTGTTTTTCAATTTTGACTGTGGATACTTTGTCTCGAAGGTTGTATCCATGTGAGTCTTGGTAGAGAGCTATATTACATGTGGAATAAGTAAGGTTTTTAAGGAGTTTGAAATAAAGAATTAAGTTAGACCTAAGCCTTCTTTTCCAGAGGGGTTCTAGTCCTAAGATATGGCATCTGGATTTGTAGTCAGTGAGTTGGTCGTTCTTAAGTATTTTGCGAGTGAAGTCTCGCTGTATTCCTTCCACCTTAAATATATCAGATTGGCGTAGATTGGAAATTAAGAACGAGCAGTATTCGACGATGGGTCTTACGCAGGCTTTATACAGGATGATTTTAGTTTCGTTTTGAAAGAAATTACGAAGGATGAAGCCAAGCAATCTCCGCATTTGAGACGCTTTAGTTGAGATATGTTCAGAGAAGTTAAGACTGTCAGAGTAATGTACCCCAAGGTCAGTTACTGATGTCAGTCTGAGCAGTGGGTTTTTGTTAAGTGCTAGTTTTAGTTTAAGTGACGTGTTTCCAATACATAGCCAACCGCATTTCTCTATGTTGAGCTCTAGCCCCCAGAGTTTGCACCAGTCGTCTACTTTGTTGAGTTCATGTTGGATCGTTTGCATAGTACTTAGTACATCACCAATGTCAGTTTTATAGATAACTTTTAAGTCATCAGCGTAAAGGTAGGTCTTACCTGTGGTAAAGCACTTGCATATATTGTTGATATAAATTATAAAGAGCGATGGACCCAAGACACTACCCTGCACAACACCACTGGTTATTGGTTGAGGTGTAGATGTTGTAGAGTTAATCTTGGTTATTTGGTATCTGTTTGTGAGGAAAGACTTAATCCATTGCAATAGGGGGTTTATAATTCCAACTGACTGGAGTCTGTTGATTAGAAGATTATGGGGTACTTTATCAAAGGCTTTTTTTTATATCGAAATAAAGTATAATCACTAGCTTTTTGTGGTCACGTATGCGAGTAACCTCGTTAAAGAAGTCTATCAGACATGTACTACATGATCTTGTTCCAATGAAACCATGTTGTGTTGGGTCTATTAGTTCTTCCTTAAGTAGGTGATCTGATAGTTGACTTTGTATTACTTTTTCCATTATGCGCGAAATAACTGGGGTGATATTTATAGGTCTGTAGTTTCCGACCAGGTTTCTCGGTCCTGATTTGTGTTTGGGAAGAACATACGTTACCTTCCAGGCTTCAGGATATGTACCCGCCTCTAATGATAGTGTGTATATTTTGAGCAATAACGTATGTATATCCGGCCCCGACATTTTATAGAGAATTGATGGTATATCATCAACACCAGAGATCGCATTCGGCTTAAGGGTTTTGATGGCGGTACGTATACTCCTAATGTCAAAGTTTATGGTGCTAATATAGCTTTTGCTTATGCATTTTATGTTAAAATCTGTGGCATTAGATGTATTCCCGTTTTGTGAAAACCATTCACTTAGCAGTTCGCATATGACGGTTTGGTCATAGTACGTCACGCCATCGTGCAGTAAAGAGTGAATGTTGTGATCTTCGTTCTTTCTCATCCGTTTTGCAAGGAGCCGACATAAGTTTTGAACTTTAGATGCAGCTGTGAGCGCAGTACGTTCTTCTGTCTGTTTGTTTTTGTTGTGATGACTTTGCACTCCTTCAAGTACAGAGCATACCTGGTGCAGGGCACTGAAGTCTTTTGATGTAAAGTATGTCTTTCTTAGTTTTCGTAGCTTAGACTTAGCCTTTTGGTTGATGTAGGGAGCAATCGTTTTGAAAGCAATTTTAGAAGGGATGGTAGTGTCTAGTGCAGATTTGGTGGTAGTATTGAATATTTCCAGTGTTTCTAAAAAGTTATCACTGGTGAAGAAAGTGTTCCAGTCAGAATGCTTCATAAAGAACCGAAAGTTACTCCAGTCGGCGTTTTCATAGTCTCTATATTGGAAACACGTATTTAATGTCTTTAATTTTTTGCGCTTGGCAAGAATCGGAAGGGTGCAGAAGACTATTTTATGATCGCTGTTATGGAACCTCTCGCCAACCACCATTGATGCTGGTGTGACATTGTGACAGAATATCAAGTCAAGAATGTTGTGATTTCGGGTAGGCAGGTTAACATGTTGCTGCCAACCGTGTATGTCTAAGGACCTTAGTATTTCTTTGTAGCACAGTGGGCCAGAATGTGTCTTCCAGTTGATGGTTGGAAGGTTGAAATCACCACAGACAATTTTGTAGGCGAAGTGAAGCGAAGCAGCCTTAGCAAATGACTCACTTATAATGGTGTCAGTCAGACTGGGGGTATTCGGAGATCGATATATACATCCGATTAGTATTTTACATTCAATGGTGTGTACAGTAAGCCATATCGAATCTGGTACTTTACTGAGGATATGATCACTAAAGATTTCCGCCCTCATGTTTTTTGATGCATATATGAGACAACCGCCACCCTTCTTGGTGACTCGGTAACAGCGGAAGAGCTCATACGTGTCTATTTGGAGGCATGTGTCTGTGATATCGGAGGACAACCAACTTTCCGTTATCAAAACAAGTGAGGGGTTGTGTAATAGTAATAGGGCGCGTAGTTGAGTCATGTTATTCTGAATAGATCGGGCATTGATTAACATTAGTGTCAGGAAGGATGACTGTTTGTCTAGTAAAATGGTGTGCTGTAAACCCTGTGGTTTGTCGCTTTTGCAATGAGAAGAGGGAAAGGTGGGAGTATTGGCTCTACATTCTTGTTTGTTTAGTTTAATACCAGCATAGTTAACGGGAGAAAGGTGGTCGGAGGTTAGTTTGGCGAAAGAAGTACGTTCACGAGTGTTGGGTAGAATCGGATGAGTTAAATGGTTAGGCGGTGTATTCGGGGGGTGATCATATTCTGTCAAGGAGCTTTTAAGACTAGAGACAGTTATCGACGTTGGGAAAGATGTGTCACTCCCCACAAGGTGTCGACCAGTTTCTCCTATGACGTCTTGAGGTACCACCGGTAAAGTTCGCACTGACAAACAGTTTGAGGCGTTGACAGGTTTACCTTGTAATGGCTGTCCAGATAAGTAGTAGTCGTAGTAGTAGTGGACCGATTTCCGTAAGATTTCTTGCAGATAATGCATATTCAGTGGATGAAGATTTATCTAGGGTGATCTGAAAACAAGCCAATTTCAAACCAACCCTCGCGAATAACTTACAACCATGAACTCGATTGAGAATATCTTAGGCTCTTAGTCTCGTGCTGGTTTGCTGCGACAAACGCGAGTTCGGTGTTTACCTACAACCAACACATTTAATGGTGGTCTTGATATCAGACATCAAGAGGATGATATTAGGTATACCCCATACTAAAACTGAATCAGTTCAACTATACATTTCGCACACATACCATTCAATTTCTCATTTACTGATTCTCGAAGAACATAAAAAGAATTACTCACCCTTTGGGGGAGACTGAACCACCTTGTACTTGTAGTTTGATAGGCCGAGTTCTCATCCCTCCACCTCAGATTTCAAACGTTCACGTGAGTCATCTCTGTTATCTTTAAAGACCAATGAAGATGTGTCCACCTCTACCCTATCCATATTTTTCAAACCCAGCATTGACGGTTCTGTTTTACCATTTAATGACACACGAGGCATGTATGAAGGATTATCATGATGAAGTGCACATGAGTGATGTGAGTGAAATTTACGACAGGATAAGCACCTACCAAACCTGTACTCACCTCTTTAATGTGCTCCAAAATTCTTTTTCGAGTCAATTCGCATATTTCCACGAAAATGGAAATCTTTATTAAAGAAATGTGAGCTTGAGCGAAACTGAGAATTTAGTTCATCACGACAACCAGGAAAATTATTGTAAAATTTTCTCTGACTAAAAATCGTGCCCATTCACCATGTAATGGTAGACGACTCTCCAAGTTATATATCTCTGTAAGTCCTCGACATTGATTCTGACCTCGTTAGTTTTGCTGGACACACCTAGCTGTAGGTGCTTCGTCGTGCAACCACACTAGATCTCGAATGAGTATGTTGCGCTACGTGTCCCTTACAACTGTTAGCCAACACAGCCCACACTCTTCTCAAAATAACGATAGCTTCCAGAATGTTTTGGTTTTGTCATCTTCAATATCTTTTTCTAGTCATGCACCAGATTTCGAAACGCCCAATTCGATCTTGCAAGTCATCCAAACTTGAATTTATATCCAACCTTCAAGTTTCAATCCATCGCGATGCCAGTATAATAATCAGTAGTATTCGAATCTATGTGCCAACTAAGAAGTCTCGAAATAGTAAAATTTAGGGCAGGTAGAACTACATGATTTCAAGCAAACGTAATATATTTGATGGTCGTATTAAGCGCCCAATCAAGTACAGAGGAATCATCAATTAGTACAAATGACACGTATATCTACAGCTTGACAAACGTCAGACAGTTGCCATACTAAAATTTCTTCTCAAAAATAATTCGGTTCAGCGAGAGCGTTCAAGTATTGCTCATGTGAATCTACTTTTCTACCAGAGTCTTGTTAAGCTACGCCATTAATATTTTGAAGATCAAGGACGACCCTGAAGATATATAAACTTCATAAGCTGTTTCTGTGTAAACTTTCGAATATGGCCTCTCCAAGCTGTGCTTATAAGTGTCTGAAGATTTTTTTAGCGGTATTCAATATCCTTATTTTTGTAAGTTAGATAACATATGATGAAAACGTTTTTCTTGAAAGGCATGTGGAATTGCTTTAATAGTGGTTGGAAGTATCTCTCGAGTCGCTATTATTAATTATTCTTCTGGAATCGACTCAAATATCAATTGTCTTTTAATCTTCGTAATAGTTTTTGGATGCTTCCTACTTTTGCTTGGATTTCTCGGATTTTGTGGGCTGTCTACCGAAAATACTTGTTGTCTAATCGTGGTAAATTCATATATTCACTAATTTTAAAAATCAAGTACACAGTTCTGCTTTCAGTTATGGTTGCAGCTGAAATAGCAGCAGGAATAGCGGCTGTTGCACTAAAGAAAGATGTGAAAACTCAATTCCTATCTTCGGTTAAGAGCCTCGTTCCTGTATATGACAAGAATCCGAATTTCAAGAAATTCTTAGACAAGATACAACAAGAGGTATGCCACAATGAACTGTTTTTTACCTTTTAGTTTCAATGTTGTGGCTCTGAATCGTCAAACGACTACACATCGGTTGGACAAACCATCCCTGATTCATGTAAAAATACAACATCCAAGGTTACTTACTCAAATGTAAGTTGAAAAGAATTTTGTTCACTCTTCAAAGTATCCCTTTTAGTTTTATCTTTTTACAAATGTCTGTGAGATCTGATGTTAGATCAAGATAAAATGTTCTGTCTTTCTAATAAGTCTATTGTATTTAATATTTTAATGATGTTTAAACCTACAAAATATGTTGCAATAATAACGAACACCGGAAGATAGAAACTTACAATCACTGGTCCATGAGTGGATGCTAGTACATCAAACTTCAAAGTCAGACTGTTTTTGCATGTTTGTATAAGCTTCAAATCTGGATAAAATGTTTTCGAATTGCCTATCAACAGTAAATTTCAAAGTACTACTGTCTTCAGCCAACGCGACTACTAAGGACTTACTGTTTCCTGAATGTATGAACCTGATCTTCTGTTATTAGTTAAATAGTAGATTCGTTGACCTATACTGTTCACCTATACACTTGACGATTCAAGTATTTCAAGCCACAGCTAAATCTGATAGTTCATATTCATACATTCAGCCGTTGAGCCTAATATCGTCCATTAACTTGATGAGCATCGCACACTGACTTCTTGTGGTGATCACAGTTGTAGAGATCTGATTTTTAAGTGAATCACGTCTGATCACATGCTTACTACTAGGCCTTTTTTGAACGAGTCTTCAATAAAGAATAATGATTGCGTAGCAGACACAGTTTTCAGTACGACGAGAGATATATTTAGTCGTTATGAATGTGGCTTGACTCATACTTTCACTTTTTATAGTCATGCATAGATGATCTAAACCGGTAATTTTTGTATTTGACTGAGAAGCACGTCAAATCACAAATGTTTCCTTCACTTGCTCGCCACCAAAGTGTGTTGTTTCTGAGTGAGGCATGGTATAAACCTAGCTGAATTTTCAAACTGATGACCAACTTTTCCAACCAATCCTGCATATTACACATTAGCTCCGTTCATTCCTAAAACAAAGACCATGTGCCTAAGATACCATATATCCGATGTTAAAAAGTTTGAACTCCTAACAGAAAAAATAGGGCAATTATTTCCTGCAACTTATTCTCTATTTATGTTAAATGTGATAACGTTATTTTGAATTTCAGGGATGTTCAAACAAAGTTATCTCCTTCTTTGAAAAGTATATTGTTGCCGTTTTAGTAGCGGTATTTTCAGTTGATATCCTCCAATCACTGTGTATTGTTTTCACTATCTGTGTTATCCGAGCTATCAAATCTGGCGATTCTGACTAGGATTAAAATGATCAAATATGTAGACACTATGTCTGATTTTTCAAGAGCTTTGAACTTCATAAAACTACATTTTTTCTTCCTCATATTTTTATTTTATTGCCATTTATTAAACAAAGAATGGAGTCTTGTATTCTATTCAAAAAATGTTAAAAACAAACCAAGGGTTACTTGACTTAAGATTATGATATTGATCGAAAATATAAAATCTAAATGCTATTTTTGAGACTTCTATTTTCACTCATCTTTCCTAGTTCATCAAAAATGAAATATACTGAAATGCTGCTTCTTACCAAACGTGGTGTCTTGTCAGTGAAGTGTATAGACACTTCACATTCTACTACATCTGTAACTTCACAATTGACAAACTACAAATATAGATTCGATAGGTTCAAACTAGTTGGAGATAAAACAACCTATTGGCAAGTAGTTTTAGGATAGTGCCAATAGTATTGAGAATTTTTTTTGTCGGTTAAAACTTTGATCATTTTAAAGACTTAGAACTCAATCAAACACCTAAGTATTAAACTAAAACACCAGGTTATAATAAATAAGCAGGTTTAGATAGAGTGAAAGCAAATCATAGTCCGTTATTTTAAGACCACTTTGTATGCTTTAAGCAATGAATCTAAGCCTAAATGTTGGATCTCTGTGCATGTGGCCAAATGTCTTGTTTAATCCTCAATGGAAGAACAATGCTAAGAAATCACATAACTGGACAAAACTGATACCCGGTGCCAACTGATTTTCAATAGTTATTTAACTAGAATACATCTGTGATGATAATGATGAAATAACTGTAGTTACTGACCCGAGTGGTGTTTTTTCGTTCCCTAGCTCTAGAAACAAATTGGTGAGATCGGCGTAACAGTGGGGATGACCGAAATTTGTTGCTTCTCACCAGGTCCCATATGTTTATCTCTGGAAGTTAAACACCAGTAAGTAAATGATGACTTTCTAGCATTGGTGTTGGTGAAAAATATTTAATGATGATGGAGTTAATAAGAAGCGTTAGGCTCATACTTTGTGTTCACTTACACTTTTCAGCAAGTATCAACTATAAGCATCCAAACTTATACTAACTATCGCTATTACAAATATGTGAGTTCTGACTTATAATTAAAATTCGAAATGTTTACACTAACAGGTACCTGATATAATGTCTTATATCTGAAGATAATTGGATTCTATTGACCCGCCTGAAATTAGTCCTGAACCTACTGTTGGAACATACGTATTATTCATGATAGGTACTCGAGGAAAACGAATAAAATACTCCAAACTCAGACACAGACATAGATAAACTACAGCCCAAATATTTGAGATTACTACATACGGCCTTATGTATTTTTGATAATCGAGTAATACCCTATCAAGAAATGAATCAGTTTGTTGTTATGAAGCACATACAACATTTGATATACCCGCATAAATGCCCCTTAAACCTTTTGAAGACAATTGTTTCCATTCAAACATGATACGAACAATAAACCTCTCCTTTTGTTCGACTGAATTAAGTACCTACGCCTGTCACACCTCATCGAGTAGCATAGGCCGCCCAACGGCATTCTCAATTCCACCCTGTCACGGGAAATCCATTCAACTTCTTTCAAGTCGCTATTCATACTATTCATGTCTGCTTATATTTACCGGCGTAATGTGTTCTTTGGCCTTCCTCTTTTCCACTTCCCATCATGATTCCAAGCTAGTGCTTGCTTCGTGATGCAGTTTGGTAATTTTCGTAATGTATGTCCTACACACTTTCATCGTCTTTTTTAATTTCCTCTTCATTTGAAAATTGTTTTATTCTTTGCCACAGTAGGTTGTTGCTGATGACATCAGACCATTGGAAATTGAATATCTTGCGTAGATAGTTGTTTAGAAATACCTGTACTATTTTGACCGTGTTTAGTCCTGTTTTCAGAAAACAACATCCTACACCTTCGGTAATATTCAACTAATACCAATACTATTTGTGTTCAACAAGTGAACAATTTCAGTAGATCGTGACTCAGCATTTCATGAACAGAGTCTCCATCATTTACCATTCAATTTTTTTGAAAATGTGAATAATTAGTTTATTTCAATGAATTGATAATCAAAATTTAGCATTATTAAGAAAATGGATTCGATCCGTTCCACTGAATTTTAATGGGAACATGCTGAACTTTTGAAGTGACATAACAATAGAAGTAGTAGGTAATGGGTATACTTAACTAATATAATTATAAAAATGTTGTCACAGTATGAAATGTTTGTAAATTAGTGCCTAACCGTTTTCATTTTTCACATTTGAAGTAAAAAAAATCACTAGTAACCAACTCAATGAAAACATGATAATCGAATGATTGACTGGACATTAGTTTCAAGAATAGGCAGTGTCGAAGAAAACTGTTTATTATGAAACAGAGTATATCATAATATTGGATCATTGAGACTATTAGTTACATAGAATTCAACCACCACTACAGGAAGTTACCAAGATATGCTCCTCAATAGGTTATAAATTTTGGAATCTAATCCATTTGAAATTATGACATCTATTTATCTAATGAGTTACTGCTTCACACACAGTTTGCAATCGCCTACTGAATATTCGTTTAGGCTATTTGTAAGCTAGTCACCACTGATAATATGATAATTATCACTGTAAAGTCAAGTTACACAACTTGCACTCTTGATAGATTTGAATAAAGTAAGGACCATTAAAGATGTTCAGGATTCTATAAATCCATTTTACAGAGGTAATTATCATCAGGCAATTTAGATCATTAAAATGATGTAACTTCTCATTTTTCAACTACATACTGATGCTGACGCCACTGTGCTGCTTTATTTCATTACCATTCATTAAAAACACAATGAAACAAGTTCATTGACCTAAAGTACCATTCAATCTTTCACCAAACATTATGATTTACTAAACCCTGTAATCAATTATTATTCTCATAATCCTATAACATCGTCTTAAAAGTTGTATCTTCCTTGAATTGGAGCATTTTATTTTTGCCTAATTTGGACGTGTGACTATAGCGAATGAAGAAAATTTATTAAGAATTGAATATCGCTCATTCATATGTAGTGACCTGCTTTTCTCGACGAGAACACGATCGGAATAATGTAAACAATTATTATTATCACTAATTGTACCAGTGATTGTTTTACTGTAACCGTACTGTATCAAAGTCACCTCTCGTTACGCTCTACATCTTGTTCCTTCGAACTTTCTTACGCTCTTCTCTTATTGCCTATAATCTTTGGTACGTCTCGGTATTCATTCGATACCATGAGATCGCCAATAAATATACTTTATCTGAACCAGTTACAGTCTTCTGGTTTGCGAGTTATCAAAAGTACTAAGTCGTTATTGGGTACGTAATCTTATTGTAGTGGAGATCATAGTCACTCACGACCCGACGCTATCTACGCATATGTCAACATTTCTGGACAATATAATAAGAGTGAAATATACTTGAATACACATTGAAATAATATTCATCCGTTGTGGTTGGCCAGAGGACAGGTAAAGGGGATTACGAGTTCTATTCTTGCTCACTTGGTGGACACAGGTCATCAGGTTGAACTGAATAAAGCTTTTAAGGTTATCTACCATATTCTATCAAATTTTCCACATGGTTTACGAGCTCGTCTACTGCTCATAGCTGAAGCCATCGCAATTCATATTCACAAACCGAACCTTTGTATGCAAAAGAAGTTTGTACAACCACTCTCGCTACCTTGGCCATCGGTATAGCGGAGTTTGTAGCATAATTTCGGTTAATAATTATCTTATTCCTTCCATTTTTTGTATTTTACTTATTCTCTTCATTCGTCTCTTGATTCTTACATAACTACTATATTACTGACCATTCATCAAAATATTTTATTAGTTCCTTCTTCTCCTGTTTTATATATTATGCAACGTAGCAACAGCTTGATTTTCGAATAATAACTTTGATTAGTATTAATCCTTCTCTTCCAATTAATGTTAGTTTATAATCGATGTCATTATATAATCATTACGTAACGTATCTACTCCATGAGTGTTATTTAATTATTGTAAATCATATATGAATATTACTGTAGAGCTATGATTGAAAAACTAATTGAAAAGAAATTTCTTCGCTCGATTTGTTTCCTTTTTATTTATCAAAAAATGAGATGTTCAAAAATTGTTATGAACAACTATGATAGAATAATGGAACTACATAACTCAGTGAAATACAATGAATGAATATAATGAATGTGAATGAACTTGTATAGACGTGTCTCTATATTGTTTATCACTTCTTTTGTTTGTTTGTTTTCTTTACTTCCTTGTCTTCTTCTTTTTATTCTGGAATTCCTCTGTTTTAGACAACTAAACAATCACTAATTGGTAACATATTGGATCTAACCAGTTAGCAGAAAACCGAAATTCTTCATCTTATCTATTCCACACCATCTATAATATGTCAAGGTTATAAATCTAATGAATCAATGATATAAAAACATTAAGATAATGGTAATAGACTAAAGTATGATATAACCTTTCATATTATAGATGATCATAAAGAAAAAAAGTAGATATGGTCCATTTCATTGAATAGACCTGAGGAATTACTTGCATATCATAATGTGTAGCAAACAATCAGATGTATGACAATACAGATGTTTGAAGACATTTCTAATTGTCTCTAATTCATAAAATTTAGTAAGTTATCCATAAGTAGATTAATTAATTATTATTATCATTCTTATCTGAACAGATAATGAAACAAACGTCCAAGTCTCAACGCCTTATAGGTTTCATAACTCGAAACCTTCATAACAGCGAATCTCGTATTCTAATGTACAAAGTCTGTGTTCGACCACTCCTCGAATACTGCGCGTTTCTCCTTAGTAGCACGCGCATAAAGGATAAATTAAAACTGGAATCAGTACAGAGACGATTTACACTTCGTACTCTTGGACCTGATAGTGTCTTGACATATAATTCGAGGTGTAGTAAGCTAGGGCTTGACCCTTTATGGATGAGGAGACTCAAACTTAACCTTATCTTCTTTTTCAAAATACTTAACAAACTCTCCTTTACATCCAGTCAGGCGATTCAATATGCTAAGGCCTCACATTACGACATTCGTAACTCCTTGTCTTTAGCGAAACAAACATATTCTAGATCTTCTCTCTATATGAATTACTTTACCTGTAAGTTTTCTAGACTCTGGAATAATCTACCTCAAACTATCAGTATGTTAAACTCTCTCCCATTGTTTGTCTGCTCAATTAATGCTTTTTGCTCCTCTGAATATGCATTAAATGCTCTAGCGCCTGCAAGTGTATCTTACTTCACAGGTGAGATTATCGGAACTTTAAATGTTTAACCTCTTACTTGCTATCATTGTTTTGTTGTTCCGTGCTCTTTGCTTTATTCTTACTTTCTCTAGTTGTAGATAATCATCAATAACTCGCTCTGGCACTAGAAATAACCTTAAAGAACAATGTTGAATAATCATCAGGCTATCCACTTTAGAAAAAATGACAAGTTCCCTAGTGTTGCATTGGCTTGCCGTGATATATGCCATATTTAAACTGTTTATCAATTACTAAACCAGCAAACATAAAACTTTCTCATATTTCATGTTTGTTCTCTACATTAAATGTTGATTTTTATAACAATCTGATCATGCCAGTAAACCGGTGTGAATTCTGTAAATATTATTTTCAGAATATATTATTATTATTATTATTGTTATTATTATTATTATTATCTGAACGGGGTTTTGTGGAGATTTTAGTAATTTTTATAGTTGAAACCATGAGACAATCGAAGCTCCACCACCATGGAAAACCTGGAAGCATTGGATGGCAGTTTTGTCCTATTCTGGTACTCACAATTGATTGATGACTGGGTGGTGATCAATGTCATGCGTGTTAAGTCCTTTATAGTGCAGATCAAATGCTATCGATCAAGTTGCAATGTGGCCACGCATGACATTGATCACCATCACCCAGTGATCAATCAATTGTAATTACATCTTAGTACTACAGGTGGTCGGTTGCAACCCGAATAGCTCAGTGGTAACGTCTCTGACTGTGAAGCTGAGTGACACGGGATCGAATCCGTCAAGGAGTACCAGTTCCCTCAAGGTTACAGGTAAACCATGCTGATAAGTGCCAAGAAGCATGAAACCTGGGTCCAGGTTTCGTGTTGACCACCTCCAACCAACATAATATTGTGGTACTCCTCAGCAGTGCCCATCCTTGATACGATATCTCGCGAGGCAAGGTTGTGGATGCGCACTGCTAAGACATCTCATAGTATGACGAATGGGCTATCCAGTGCTTTCAAGCTTTCCATGGTGGTCGGGCTTCAATTGGCTTATGATTTTAATTACATAAAATTATTATTATCGCTTTGATTACTGTTTATTTCTTTGTTGTATTTTAGGTACTTGGTATATGTTTAATTGTGATGGGCAGTTATGTACATCTATTTCTTAGTACATTCTTACGTAATTTACCAGTTCATATGTTATCATTAACATTTATTATGATGGCACTTGGATGTCTTCTATTTTCACTTGGTAGTATTGGCATATTATTTGTTTTAACTGGACGTCGAAAAATTAATGCAATTGTAAGGTATAATTTGTTCTTGTGAACTAATACTGATTCTCTTATTGATATATATGACTATAGTATACAGTACTGTTGATAGTAGCTGTTTCAATAGGTATTGTTGTCATTGTAACGACATGCATGTTACGTGAAAAGGTAATTGTTTCGATCAAGTGAATGTTGTTTGTTTTACTTTTGTTTAACACGTTCTCTATTCAATATTTAGATGGGTATGATGTTTCGAAATATTATCAAAGATTCTATCAAGCATTATATGAGAAAAAATAGTTATGCAGCATTTGTGAACACAATACAATTACAGGTAAATTAGTGTTGGCAAAAAAGATACTGCTTTGTCATTGATGTGCTTTAAGCATAAATGTTGTGGTGCAGATTCAGTCATGGATTATACTGTCAGTAATCTTTCGGTACCAGTTTCATGTTATCCTGAAAAAGGCACAACACCGCATAGTGAAGTAAGTGATAATCAACAGTTTTGTAATTTACTTAACAATTTGTATGTTTACAGGGAATGCTTTCTTGTGAAACGCTGATTGGTGTTTTACATATTCCTTCAGAAATGACATGAATATCTGTATACAAAAATGTACAGACAAATGTAACACGTGGAATCAGCAGTTAGAGAACAGCAGTACAGATCTGAAAAACGAGGACTTCACACTAAAAGAGAACACAGTGGGAATCACGAGCCTCTTTATTTCAAAATCAAAAAGCCGGTGCGCTAGAGTACAGCGGAAAGAGTCAGTTTACAAAGTAGTCTTATGAGTCATCCTGTAAGCTTAGTGTACATAGGGCTTGCTCTTCTTCCTCCGAAGAGTTTATGTTTGGTCGCCCTGCAACAGAAAGAAAATAGAATGCATTAGTATATCATACATAGCAATTTCAACTCCGTTACACCGCCCCCTCTCTTAAATAGGCACTGTCCTCAGTGCCTGGTCTCGGACATGGATATGCTGTTCCCCCTTCTGATGGTACCTCATAAGACGTAGTGGCAGGTGGTGGATCGGCGTACTGGGCATCCGAGGAAACTGTCATCCTATCTGGTTTTATTTGGTTATAGTGTACAGTTATCACGTCATCCTGGGGTCGTTGCAAGTTACGTAATACGAACGTAGTGGGGGATCGGATGAGGACGATTTCAAAGGGGCCTTGCCACGGCTGGTGGAACTTACTGCAACTCCTTGACGATGTCATGGGACGACGTAGCTAAACGCGATCACCGACCTTATACACTGGTCCGTGCACCCGACGATCGTACAAGTCCTTTTGATGCTCACTAGCTTTGCGCAAATTGCTGTTGACCAAGAAGTATGCATCAGCTAAGCGGTTACGGAGAGTACGTATGTTTGGTACATGCTCCTGTTCTTCTCATGGCAGCAGGGGCGTCTGTATCTCCACCGGTAAGCGTAATTCATACCCGAATAATAAAATAGCGGGTGAAAACCCGTTGGAGCCACGTACCGATGTACGATATGCTAAAAGACACTGAGGAAGGACATCATCCCGTAACTCCTGAGACGATCTGCTCACAAACGCTTTCAATATGGCTTTATTACTTCAGTTTGTTCTTTCTACCAGCCCGTTACCTTCTGGGTGATACGCAGTGGTTCGTGTCTTCCTGATTCCCAAAAGTTGGCATATCTCGGCAATGAGGTGACTTTCAAAGGCTGGACCTTGATCAGAATGAAGTGATAAGGGGGTGCCATAGCGGGAAACCCAATGATCGATGAAAGCTCGGGCAACCGTAAGAGCGTCTTGCTGGGGAAGGGGTACTGCTTCGCACCATTTAGTAAAGTAATCAACCATAACCAGTATGAAGCGATTCCCTTTCTTTGTTGTTGTTAATGGTCCCATGATGTCTATGCCTATCCGCTGATGTGGTCCTGTGGTCACCATCGGGGTTAACGGTGCACGAGGTGTCTGTCGAGGCGATTTGAAACGGCAGCACGTGTTACAATTTTCGCAAATTTGCACTACATCTTCATGCATGGATGGCCACCAAAAGCACTGGCGGACCGCGTTTTCCGTCCTTCGTTCTCCTGCATGACCTAGTTCGCGGTGCACTTGCTCCACAATGCTCTCAACTTTTATACGTGGTACTACCAATAGAGGTTGCCTCGCTTCGTTAATTAAGAATAACGTGTCGCCATATAATTTTAAATTACTCCATTTAGTGCAAATACTACGAGTTGTTAATGATTGATCCTTTAACTCTTTCATGGATGGTTTATTGTTTCCCTGTAACTGTCTTTGATATATAATCTGCATGTTTGGGTCTGCTGCTTGCAGGGAAGGCCAATCAATCTCTAGGGCTGTGCTAAGAACTGCATTAACAGTACCTGCGGTTTGAGGTATGCGGGAAAGAGCGTCTGCGTTTGTATGTCGGCTTCCAGGTCGGTACTGGCATGTGAGATCGAACTCTTGTAGTCGTTCTTGCCAGCGTGCCACTTGCCCCTCTGGCTCGCGGAAGGAGCGGAGCCATTGTAATGCATGGTGGTCCGTGCGTACACGGAAAGGTTTACCCAGTAAGTAATGGCGGAAGTGTTGTAAGAATTTTGCTAATGCTAACATCACTCGACGCGTTGTCGAATATCTTGTTTCGCTCTTATCCAGTCGGCAGCCAGCGTACGCAATGACTCTTTCTTGCCCATCTGGGGCCACTTGTGATAGAACTGCTCCAATAGCGGAGGAACTGGCATCTGTATCAAGTATAAATTCTCCCCCGCTTTCTGAGGTATCGGGAACGGCTAATATGGGTGGAGAGCTTAGTCGCGTCTTCAAAGCATCGAACGCCTGTTGACACTCTGCAGTCCATAAAAATTTTCGTCCTTTGTGCGTCAAACGGTGTAAGGGTGCTGCTAACTATGCAAAGTCACGAACAAAGCGCCTGTAGTAAGAAGCTAGGCCCAGAAAGCTACGAACGTCTTCAGGTGATTTGGGCTGTGGCCAATTAACAATGGCACGTGTCTTTTCCTTATCGGTGCCTACTCCATCTGCAGTGATACGATGTCCTAAGAAAACTACTTTCTGCAGCAGGCAACATTTGGACGGTTTTACTTTTAAGTTGTGTTGTTGAAGGCGATGGAGAACTGCTTACAGATTAGCATTATGTTGCTCGGGTGTGCTACCATACACAATAATGTCATCAAGATAAATCAAACATTTATGAGGTACTTTATCTTGTAAAACTGTTTGCATTAATCTTTGAAAAGTAGCTGGGGCATTCCTCAGACCGAAAGGCATTACTTGGAACTCGTATAAACAGTTTGGCACTACAAATGCGGTTTTCTTTCTATCTTGCGGTCTGACTTCCACCTGCCAGTACCCTGATGCTAGGTCTAACGTTGAAAACCAACATGCGCCACTCAAAGCGTCTAATATAGCATCGATTCTCGGAAGAGGAAAAGAGTCACGCTTAGTTATATCGTTAAGGCGTCGATAGTCTATGCAGAGTCGCAGAGAGGAATCTTCCTTTTTAACCAGGACGATAGGTGATGCCCAGGGGGATGATGACGGTACTATAATATTCTTGTCAAGCATATCCTTTATCATCTTATCCAGCTGTGGTTGATAGTGTACTGGCACTATACGAGGCGGTTTCCTAAGTGGACTGTGGTCCCCCGTGCAAATGGTGTGTTGCACCGTACTCGTGCGATTGCCAGAAATACCCTCTTCGAATACCGAACTAAACTGTTGAAGCACGGCAATCGTTGCATAGCGGTCTTTCTCTGTTATTATTCGGTTGTCCTGTACTTGCCGCGCTAGGTCTGAGATCCCCACATACAACACAGCTTTCAATGACGTGTCAGCATGGTGCAAGCGTATTCTAGTCTCCCCAAACTTTGCTTCTAATCTGTCCATGGATATACACGCTTGATGTTCTAACATGAAATCAACTCCGAGTATCATGTCCCAAGTCAATGCTGGACAAACTAAAAATCCGTGCCGGAACGGATGTTTTTCTACCATTAGATCCAACCATACTTTAGAGTTTACTTTTAGTGGGTCCCCGCTTGCCGTGAGTAGTGTAGATGGGCATCGCGTTTGTTGGACTTTGTGGTTAAGTCTTCTTAAAAGTTAGTCCTTAATTACGGATGCCGAAGCTCCGGTGTCTAATAAAATTTCGATATCGACACCCTGCAGCCTACCCTTAATCGTAATGGGGCGCATGTGATTAACATAAGAAGACAAATGGAAAAAATACGGCTTACTTGGGTTACCAGAGCGGTTATGACCACATTTCCTTGCATTTTTGCCAAATCGTCGGCAGTATGTGCATTCGGCTTGGCGACCGTGATAACTGTTCGTTGACCTCCATTTCTTCTCGGCTGCACTTGATTGTTGTCGACGGTTGCTCCAGCTGGCAAATTGGGTAACGTCTGTAACGTTCTGAGAGTTCTTCTGGCGGCTAGTTTTGGCGGGTTGTGTCACTGCCATCACTGCCGGTTGGTGCATGTCTGATGGGCTTTTCAGCTGCTCAGCTACCATGAACCGGAATATAGTTCTTTTTAAGGCAGTTATATCTGTTGGAGGGTTTAGGAGAAAGTGTTCCTTTAAGGAACTAGATCTTAACCCTTCCACGAACCGAGACTTAATCAATTCATCTCGTCCAGTGGCATCAAGACAAGGGAACGCTTGCACAGCCATTTTTCGCGAAGAATTAAAATAATCCATTGGATTCTCGCCGTGTGTTTCATGTTGTGACAAAAATCCGATGGCTGCTTGTTGGGGACCAACCGGCATCGAAAAACAATCGTCGAGGATCTTCCAGTTCTGAGCGAGAGTGTTGTCTGCCGCAAACCCGTTGACCACAGCTCTCTTGGTAGCTTCGTCGCTGAGGTAGGACACGAGATAATCGAAATGTTCCGAGGCTGGAACTTTACGAAGATATGCTGTGACTTTGAACTTCCACACTGTATAGTCTGACGAGTTCTCCAGGAGTGGCAGTTGACGGGGAGCTGAGTCAGTTGCTGGCTTGACTGGAATCACCGGCGGTTCGTTCAGGTTCTCATCGCATTTTTTAGTGAACACCTCCATCACCAGTTGTAACATGTGGAATCAGCAGTTAGAGAACAGCAGTACAGATCTTAAAAACAGCACAGCACACAATGTTAAACGAGGACTTCACACTAAAAGAGAACACAGTGGGAATCACGAGCCTCTTTATTTCAAAATCAAAAAGCCGGTGCGCTAGAGTACAGCGGAAAGAGTCAGTTTACAAAGTAGTCTTATGAGTCATCCTGTAAGCTTAGTGTACATAGGGCTTGCTCTTCTTCCTCCAAAGTGTTTATGTTTGGTCGCCCTGCAACAGAAAGAAAATAGAATGCATTAGTATATCATACATAGTAATTTCAACTCCATTACACAAATATAGCTTAAACCGACCGCATTAACTTCGAGATAGTCAGTGATTCATCTAAACAAATATATATGTTGTCTAAAGGCTAAAGTAGGAAGGAAACAGTCTATAACTTTTTCGCAAAGATGAAAACACTTACTGGTACTTGTGAAACACAAATATTCAAAAGAAACTATATGTCAGCTATATGTGGAAACATGAATCTGTTT